AGTGTGTACATGTGTGTACATGCATATGTGTGTGAGTGTGAATGTGTGTGCGTGTGCATGTGTGTTGGTGTTTGCTCACTCACGTGGGTGTGAAGGCCAGGTGTTGGCGTAGGGTGTCATCTTCTAGACCTACTAAACCTGAAAGTCAGGGTAGGGAGTGAGACCCAATGAATGACTTATATGAAACCATCACCCAGGGTACTGTAATGCATTAAGTTTAAAAAGTACTAAAGGGCTTGTTGGAATCAGGGTTTTATAGATGTCAAATTTCAGGTTGCAGAGGGATTTGGCTCTGCCATTGCCTCTCCCTGGACCATGTGCTGTCAGTTCTAGGAAAGGGTGGTTAACCCAGAGGCAGTCATTCCATAGCAACTAGAGAGAGATGGCGTTCACCCGTGAACTCTCAGGACTTTATTCATTGAGTCTTAAATTTAAAGATGTGATGCTGTCTTTGTCTTTAAATCTAAGTGAAAGAGGCTGGCATTATGAGCCGAGAAAGAACTTAGTGGTGTTTGAAGTTGTGGATCCCCTAGAAATAAGATGGAAACTAGTCAGAGCAAGAGTAGGTTGTTTGCCTATGGATTTCCTCCCTGGTTCTCTGTCTAGTTTGTTTCTTTGTCTGTCTGTTTCTATAAGGATCTCTGCTGAGACCTTGCTGGCTGGATCCTCATACCAATTTCTTATGGAAAGCTTCTTTACATGAAATGTCCTATTACATTTTTCGTGTGTGTGTGTGTGTGTGTGTGTGTACGCACGCGCGTGTGCATGCATGTGCGCGTGTGCAGGAAAAGATCAGAAGGCAACTTGAGGGAGTTGGTTCTCTCCATCTGTGGGTCCCAGGTCATCAGGTTTGGCAACAAGTACTCTCACCTACAAAGCCAATTCGCTGGCCCTAATGTACTTTTCAAATTTACTGCTATCAGCTACTAGGCTCCCTGCATTCATCCAGAATACAGTGAGAACACGTGGCATTCTGTTTTTTCCCTTCTGTTCTGCTAAGCCAGCCATGGAGCCTGACTCTTTCTACCTCCTTCCTGTGGTCCTTGTGGCGGAGGAGAAGTTGGCCCTGAGCTGAGCTGGTGGGTGCTTGGTGTTCTTCCTCTCTGCCTTTGGAACAGTACAGTGGTTTATCCCTCCTTCCTTTCCAGCTGTAAAGTTCATTTGGCGTGGGATCCTGGCAGCAATAAGGGACAGAGAAATGTGAATTTCCACATGAACTTGGAAACAGCTGTGGTGGTGGTGGTGGGGCATGAAAACCATTTTCCAGGACCTTATTTCTGCCCTCAGGTGGGTTTGAAATCTTGCGTATCCACACAACAGGCTTGGATACGTTAGAACAAAATACATTTGTTTAATCTCAGTACCTAAGTGTTACATTTGACCCATGTGCTGTTAATGTACCTGGACTGCACATGTGTGCACCTGGACAACAGGTGGAAGCACATGTGTGTATCCCTTGATTTTGGGCAACCAGCTGGTTTTGTTTTGGGCTGTTATGTATTTGCAAATAGTAGTTTTGTTTACAAAAATGCTTTCTGAAAGTTCTTTATGTATTGTTTCCAAGGCTAAAGTATCTGGCTTCCAGATAGGGCTGTGGGCACCAGGAATGCTGATGGCACCAGGGATCTATGCAGAACCAGTTGGACTTTGAACCCCGCCTTGTCAAAATTATGTGTCAAGTTTGGTACAGAAATATAAATACAATGGACAATGGCAAGAATAAAAACCAGGAGGACGCGCTGGCCGGATGGCTCGGGGTTAAGGGCTTCCAGTATGAGCCTGGGAACCTTCGTGTAGTTCCTGGAACCCACAGTACAAGGGGAGAACCAGTTCCCACAGTTGTCCTGTGACCTCCACAAATGCTCGGTGGCGCACTCACACTCATCCTGTCACAATAATACACAAACAGGCAGATAAGTTCGTAAAAACCAAAACCAGCAGGACCTTGAGGGCAGTGGAGTTCTGAGGAGGGTGTGGGATGGGCTGAGTGAGCGACCCGTCCCTTAAGATGTTTCTTCTCATTCAGGCTGTTTCCCCTCAATTGTCTCTTCAGATCTACTCATTCTGGCACATTTATTGTTTTCCTTGTGGTAAAAACAAAACAAACCTACGTGGCGTGCAGCCCACCCTCCTTCTGGTTTCAATGTATGCAGTACAGCATCACCCACCACATTCACAGGGATGGGCAGTCGGTTCCCAGAACCCACCCCTTCGCCCCGTGAGAAAGCACACTGATGGCGATGGGTTGTATTTGGGCTCAACTCCTGCCACATCCTCCTCTTTCTAGCGCTACCCCAAACTGTCCTTATTTCTCTGCTACCTTTCTCCTTCAGCCAAGTTTCTCGCTGGTGTTTTGTGATTGTGCTAACCATGACCCTTAATAAACTTATAATCCGATGCCTATAAGATGTATCACTGGACATGACCATGACCTACCCACTTCCTAGGTGTTAGCTGAGGCGACAAAAACAGTTCCTGAATTCAGTCATAATGTAGTCCTGAAGAATATAACCATGGTGATGGCTACTGCATTCAGGTTATTGAAGAAATCTGAATCATTCTGATTGTTTAAACTCTAGATAATGATACTGCTTCTGCCCGATGTGTCTATCGTCTTATACCAAGTTGATCAGGGAATGATAGCCAGGGCTTTGCGTAACCATAGCCTGATAATTGGAGTTCTGTCAACTCTGAAACACTAGACTCAGCCACTTATCCCCAGTTTGCCAATTTCAAAGATGAGTAATGGTGACTAGCATAGAGGAGATTGCCAAGTGGCCATGCCAGGAAGGGAATCAGGCAGAGGTGGGAGAAGTGAGGACTATCCAGGGACCTTAGCCCATCCTCTAAGGGACTTCAAAGAGGTTTCAAAATGCCAGTGCTGCCCAGCTAGTCTCTCTGACGCTGCAGAGGGGTGAGGCCTGAGGCTTACTCAGAACTCAGGTTTCTTACAAATCAAAGGTTCAAATGTATCTTCTGAAAGCACACACACACACATGTATGTATGTATGTATGTATGTATGTATGTATGTATGTATGTATGTGTCTTCTAACAGTAACTGGAGTTTTAGTGCAAAAACCTGATCCTGGCCAGCAGATTCTGTAAGCTAGGCTCAACTGCTTATCTCAATATGTCAATCAAAGAGTAATCTTAAAAATCAGAAAAAATTTAGTCAGTGTAGCCAGCCATATTGTGTAGGTCCCAGTGACTCCAAGTCCATCTTCAGTGTACCGGCATGGGCTTTAGAGGGATCAGAGGTCTTCATGGGTGGGCAGTCCTTGCCACAGTGTGGATTGCTTGACCCTTGTCTTGGTTCTGTGAAGGTGGTCTAAAAATTTGTTACTGCCATGACATAAGAGGGTGGATCTGGTCTCTGTAAGACGAACACTCCTACTCCAGGACGTAGTCTCTCCATTATGGATGATTCTGGACATCTGTTCTTCTAGGAATCTAAGATGCCCACAGGCTTAGGACAATGGCCTACCTTTATGCCTTCTGTGAAGTAAAGGAGGCAGACAGGGACTCAGTGAAGGCAAGGGTGCCAGGGTTTCATGTTGCTCTCAGTTACCTGTGAGCCCTGGTGAAGAGTCAATGGTTTTTGGCAGAAGCAGCTTCTAAATGTTTGCTTCATAGCTGCCCCATTGTGGATCTGCCTCGGGTAAGATAAGCCTTTGAGAGTGTGATGGTACATGTTAATCCCAGCACTTGGGAGGTAGGGGCAGGTGGATCTCTGTGAGTTCGAGGTCAGCGAGGTCTACACAGTGAGTTAGGACAGCCAGAGATACACAGAGAAAACAAGAAGAAGAAGAAGAAGAAGAAGAGGAGGAGGAGGAGGAGGAGGAGGAGGAGGAGGAGGAGGAGGAGGAGGAGGAGGAGGAGGAAGAAGAGGAGATAAGCCTTTTCGTTCTTTATGTTGATTCGGAATTAATCTCTTTGGAAAACACTAGGGTTCGGCCCTGTGCTCTGTGGATGGCTCTTGTTTTCTTCTAATTACATCCAAATGTTCCTTAGTACAACTTTCACACTTAAACCACCAAAGTCCATCTCAGCCCATTGCTTGCATCACATGTAGCTCATTTCTCTCCCCCCTTTTGTTTTTTCAAGGGACACACATCCCTTTACTATAAAACAAGGGTGTTTACAGGACACGGTCTTTATCTTTGAAACGGAGTCCTTGTGATTTAATGTCGCTCAACACACTGGAGGCCTCACGCATTTTTACGTCATTCGTCACCTGCAAGCTGAGGGCTTTTGTAAATTTGCAAGCTGGCCAGTTCATTTGTAATATATATCGTGATTTTTTTTGGAAAGGCTGAAACAATATCCAGTTAGTCTTCCAGCTTTCTAATACACATTTACAACAAGATTTACATTACTGATCCTTTGGATGAATTCAGAATTTCAAAATCAGATCAGGAGTTGCCAAGATGGCTCTCTCATCTCAGCAGGTAATACATTGGCTGCCAACCCTAGCAACCTGAATCTAATCCCTGGAGCCCACATGGTGGAAGGAGTGGATTGACTCCCAAAAGCTGACCTCTGACCTCCACATGGATGCCAGGGCACCAGTGTGTGCCCCCCCCGCATCAATAGAATTAAGTAAATGTAAAAACAATCAGGCTGGAACTCTGATGTTACTGAAAAATAAACTCAACACCGACAGCTGCAGTAAACTCAATGTCTAGTGATGATGGTCCAGTGTATCCAGAGAGTCATTTCACCATTGTCAGTTCCCTTTGGTTGATTGGTGCTCGTGTGGAGTAAAACCGTGAGCCAAGTATGGCAGTCAACTTTGGGAAGCAGTTGAGTTCTGAGGGACTTGCGCTTCCGTTTGAAAAGCACTTCAGGTTTTTGGGAGGATCCATTTATCTCCACCATCTCCTCCCACTGTACCGCGGAGTGTTTCCCAAATCCTCCCGTCTCTTCTTACACGTCTATTTATCTTTCTGTGTGTGCCACGTTTGGGCGTCTCATTAAAGCCGCATCTGTTCTCTTTTAGGAGAAACCCAACGCCAGCCCCACGTCACTTCAGCTGCGGTCCCAGCTCGAAGTAAGCACAGCCTTTTCATCATCTGTTTTGGCTTCTGCCTCTTCTCTCGAGTGACATTCTGTAGGAAGTAGACTCCGCTGTCCCTTACTGACACTGAGACCCTCTCTCTCTTCTAGGAGTCCCTTGGCTTCTGCAGCGCCGTGTCAACACCAGAAGTGGAAAGAAAGTAAGTCACTCTCCTTCTGCTGGAGTCCGAGCTACGGGGGAGGCGTCTGGGCTGGAGTTGGGTGTGCTGTTCTTAAACATGCTCTGTGTGGCACATCTACCAAGGTGGGCTTTACAGGCCAGCTGGGGTTGCCTTGGCTATTAGTTGTGCATTTCTTGTCACGAAGGGAGTCCCAAATAAATGCCCGGAATGAAGGGAAAGGGCAGGTAAATCAATTGGGACGGGCTTTCATCTTTGATCCTAGCTTTTAATAGAGAATGAAATGCATGTAGGAACCAACTACAAAAATAAAATACACTGTAACCAAAACAATGACTTTGAAAGGCCTCCCTACAACTCATTTGGTTATGCCACCTCAAAACAAATGTGATTCCTGTGTGAGAAGCTGGCGCACGTATGTGCACGAACCTTTTCTGTTAAAGAAATATTTTTCTTTTCTTGTCCTAACTCAGGCTCTATAATTTCTGTTCTCATAAAAGGTAATGCTATGTTTTTGTATTTTCAGTGTTACAATTTATAAAAGAAAAAAAACTAAGTATCTTTATCTACAGGCTTTCCCCTTTCTATTTCATTCCATTGTAGTCACTCTAGTGATTTTTTCTGAAGTAAAGAAATTTAAAGAAAGCCCACATCTCTAAGCAGACACTTCCTCTGGCCCAGAGCCACTTGTCCTGTTTTGTGCCAAGAGAGGCAGAGAAGTGGTTTAGGAATGAAGTATTTTAGGAATGAGGAGCACACGCTGGGCAAGTGTGTGTGTACTTTACAGCCCCCTCGGCCTAATCCGGCCACGTGTGTGCTGCTGGCAGAGGCAGCATCTAGGAGGGGCTGTGGCTCTACCAGAAAGCTGCAGCTCTGAAATAAGGGCCTGAGTAGGCATGGGTCAAGACTAACGAGTATCATTAGAACCCAAGAGCCAATGAAAAACAAAGGTTACAGCACATGCTATCTAAGCATCCCTTGGTTGAGCTGATGTGTATCCTGCCAGGATCCTTCTCTTGTTAAGGCTGAGTGAGGTAGGCCATGGGTGTATGTGGGCATTGCCTTTGATCTCGGAGGTGCTGGGGTGCTGGCGAAGCATTGAGAACACAGGCTGTGGGCTCTCTTGACCTAAGTTGTCACTTGGGTGTGATGGAGTCAGAGGGCTCAGGTGTTCCTCCGCAGCATCTGAGTCCCTCAGGAAACAAGAGAGGGGAGTGAGTCACCCAGTTTGGATTAGCCTAGGTTAAGTTGGGCATCCCTTTCTCTCAGTCATGTTTTCCGTGTTTGTATTCCTTCCTCTGGAATACAGTGTGACTCCTGTGGCCAAGGGGGAGACTGCTGGACTCCTCAGTGGTTAACAAAGGAATTTGCACCACACCCACTGTCGACAACCCGATGCCCCCATCTCTCCATCTTGCCATTTTGCCTCCGTTCTTTTCATTGGTTCAGGTTGAGTGTTTCTAAACATTCTGAAATTTGTACAAATATTTTACTCACTTCTCTAGTAATGTTTCTTGAAGATTATAGCATTCTTTTTTAACCTTGAAACAAAGCTTCCACACTTGGTATCAGCACTTACTGATGTGTGTATGCTCTTTTGTCCTCTCTCTCTCTGGGACACACACACACACACACACACACGCACACACACACACACACACACACACACACACACTTGCTGAGCCATTTGAGAGTGAGTTGCACACATCACAGCCTGAAACCCATGAGTCTTTTGGCATGTATTTCTTAAGGACAAAGACACACACACACACTCTGACAGAACCATGGGACATTTACCAAGAAGAAAACTTACAGTGAGGCTCCTCACTTGCAGCTCAATTTTTCTCAGTGTCCCAATGCTGGGACATTTAATTTTTTTCAGTCTAGCACTGAAATAATTACTCATGGTGTGTTAATGCGTTGTCTGAAAGGGTTTCTTAGTCTCTTGCAAACTTGCCACCTTGTTTTTTCTTTGCAGAGTAGGCTAGTTGTCTTAGGCTAGGCCTTTTTTGTTTCTTACCCACAGTCCATTCCATCAGGCAGCTCATGACACCTGCTAATCCCATGATCGGAGATAATGAATTTTGATGATCTGTTTATCGTGGCATCTGTCAGGCTTCCTTTGGGAAATAATGCGGTTCTCTTTGTAACAAATACTCTTTGGGGAGAATATCTGAGGCTCTAGCACCGCCTGCCCCTCATCAAACTTTGACGAGGTTTTAGCCTCAGCAATTCCCCCCTGAGTCAATTTTTAACACAGTGGCTGTAAAGTAGAAAAACACTTATTAGTTGATAATTATTCTTCGATTAAAATCTTCTAAGGGATTTCAGGTTTCGCCTTGTCTTTAAAGATGAGCTATCACTCTGAAATGTCTAACTGGGATATAGTTAGAGCAGATTTAATGCACGGTTTGCTTTAAAAAGTTACTCATTGGTCTTTAAAGCACAGATACGTTTGACTGGAAAATCCCTCGATGCCTCCCACCCTACCACTGGCTGGCAGCTTTGCAGTTGCTTGTTGAGGCTGTGGAAGATAGCCTGGCAAACCAGTTGGTTGTGTCTGGTTAGTGTCCGCTGAGTGTCTGCCAAGTAAAATACCATGCTGACTCAGAGTGTTGCATTATGGGCAGAAATGTTGTTCTGCTTTTTATTCATCATGTAGGAGAGCTTTTACTAAACAAAGGGAGACATGTCCTACAACAAACAGCCTTCCCATGGGGGACAGAGGCCCCGGGGCCACAGGCAACTCTTAAGACCAAGAGCATCCAGCTCTATGGCTCCTGCCTTCTGGATCTAATGTCTCCCAGTTGTCTTTGGGGCCAAAGCTCACATGCTTCCCACCCTTCTTTCCCAGGTAAAAACTATGCCAAGACAGGGCTCTGGCATGGATTATGATGTAAGGTTGGTTTCTTAAAATCTCAACTCAATTAAAAAAAAAATCCCAGGCATCAGCCTGGGAATCCAGGATGGGATTGATCAAGACCCCCTGAATCTGGGTGTCAGTGAGGAGGCCTAGGTAATCTATTGAGCCTTGGGCAGCAGATCAGTACCCATCCCAAGTATACACACGGACTCTGGACTCCCATAGAACAATGTGAGGTGCACTCTCACCCTGAACTCTTGGGGAAGGGTCTAGGCCCTGCCCTATATGAAATGACAGACTATGGACACCCCCATGGAGGGCCTCACCCTCCCTGGGGGAATGAGGGGATAATGGGAGGGGTTGGGGGGAGGGCACGGGAGGAGGGGAGGGAATGGGAGAGGGACCTAGAACTGACTTGTGAAGCAACCTTGTTTCTTATCTAAATTTAAACTGGAAAATAAAATAAAAAAAATAAAATAAAAGAATTTCCATGGGGTGGGGGGGAATAAACCATAATACTTCTTCCAGAGGTACTTCACACCTATCGTGGCTTAAGTCTTGAGTTCTAGGAACTTAGCTTGGACCAAGGGAGGTGGGTGTGGAGAGTCTATCATGGAGAGGGCAAGGAATGAGGAGTCTGGCACTCTTGGCATCAGTTTTCCTGATGCCCCTTTCTACACTGGATGTAAGCTTCTAGGCCCTGGGCTGCTTGGCCCGCACAGCATGGAATCAAAGAGAAAGGCAGATGGAGGGGTGGGTCAGTGGGAAGAGAAACTGGACCTCTCACCCCATCATCACTCTGACAAACACCCTCATTCATCCCGATTTTCAGCAAGACGGTTTTTGCCCCATTTTGTTTGTGACCTTGTGTGCTAGGGCTGTCACTGAGCTACATGGCCAGCCACATGCATGCTCCTACCCTCCCCCCCCATAGAAGGGAATCAAGGAGGCAAGGCAGCTTCCACCTGAACCTTCAGTTTTCACAACTATCCACATCACCTACTGATGAGACACAGGGTCTACTTCCCCATCTTGGGTTGGTGTCTGCTCCCATGAGGGATGAACATGAGCTAAATTTCTTGCTAGCAGCTATTCTCAAACATATCTGAAAAGCAAAGCCTCCTCTTTGTTTTTTTATTTTTCTTGGCTAGGAAAGATCTTTTATATCTATGAGGAATTAGGTTAACTATGAGTGTCAGGAAGCCTGGCACAAGTGACATAAAGAAATGCCACTTTAATTGGATCCACTTTTTTTTTTTCCCATTCATATACTTAGGACTGGCCCTGTGACTCAACAGGAAGCCAGGTTGTGGCTTTTGGTTTTGTTTTCTTTCTTTTATGGGACCGGTGAGGGAGGGTGATCATGAACTCAAAGTGGCTGATACACATTCAAGGCAATGAAGGGGGCGTGGCAGAGGCATACCTTTAAGGACATTTATCCAGAGCCCCTCTTGTTTCTTCTCTTCCTCATGTGTCTGCTGTCTACTGAGCACCGACTTGGCATGGAGAGCATGCAGTCTTCTGGGTACTAAGATGTAGCGACACTGGAACAGATAGCTCCCGTTTGAAGGGAGAAAGTTGTAGAAAAAGAATCATACATTTCATAGTTTAAATGGGGGAGGTTGGATGGATGATTTGAGGCATGGCTTTGTTAGCAGGTAGACTAAGTGAGGAGCCCCCATGATGTGTTTGTTTCAGCTGTCATGATTCAATAAATCCTGCCTCTCCACTGTCATAGGCTGAGACTCCGAAACCATAAGCCGACCCCCCCTCCCTGAAAAGGGTTATTTAATTGCTGAATCACACAGGAGTTTTGATAGCTGAACCCACTTTTGCCCTGAACAAATGTCATTCTTAAGAGGGCGTGTTGCCATTTGGTGGGAAATTAGTACTTCCCATGACAGCTAATATTTCATTTGTGTTATATATACTCATTCAAGACTGATCTGAAAATGGGCCAGCTGACTGACAGGTAATGCCAGGATTTTCTATGTAGTATGTTCATGGAAGCCATGAAGCCAGCAGTACCTGGGGCTCATCTGGTTGCTTCTTTTTATCTGTGTAGAGGTGTTTTGTTCTTGGTTTTGTTTCACTCTTTTACTCTTTGGTCTTTGGGCCCCCCCCCCCCCCCTGCTCCCAAATAAATACACAGTCTTATTCTTACTTATGAATGCCCAACCTTAGCTTGGCCTCTTTCTAGCCAGCTTTTCTATACTTAAATTATTCCATCTACCTTTTGCCTCTGGACTTTTATCCTTTTCTATTCTGCATACCTTTCTTTACTTCTTTCTCCGTGACTTGCTGTGCAGCTGAGTGGCTGGCCCACCTCTCCTCCTCTCCTTCTTTGATCCTCAATCTTCTTCTCCCCAGATTTCTCCTCTGCATGTCCCGGTTTATCTCTCCAGCCTAGCTACTGGCCATTCAGCTCTTTATTAGACCAATCAGGTGTTTTAGATAGGCAAAGTAACACAGCTTCACAGAGTTAAACCAATGCAGCATAAAAGAATGCAACACATCTTTGCATCATTAAGCAAATGTGCCACAGCATAAACAAATATAACACATCTTCAGCTAATATTCCAGGACATTGTTTTCATAGAGTTGGTTCATATGAACTGCAAAATGGAAAAGAAAAAAGGAGGAATATGAGCTTTAGGGTTTATCATCTACCAGGCGTGGTTACAAGTACTTGATACACATTCAGTACTGGGAGAGCCTTACTGTGAGGCCCTATCCACTTCTGTCTCTTAATTTTTAAACAGAGAGACTGTTAAGTTGCTCAAAGCTACACAGCCACTCAGTAGCAGAACCCAGATTTGATCCCAATTAAAGTAGCAGAGCTTCTGGAGACAGCACTGTAATTCCAAACTGTCTGCAAGTGTGTTGCTTCAACAAATCCAGAGGTTAGGAGGTAGGGGTTGAGGTGGTCCAGACTGGATGCAGATCACCATGGAAACCCACCTCTGCATTTCTATAGGGTGTTTTAGAAAGGTACCACCCTACATGCTGGGATCCCAATCTGCATACCCAGTTGGGTACCAGTATTCACCCCTCTCTGCTTTCTGGCTGAGGACACGTGACAGGTCATTTCATGTCCCCACCTTCGTGCTTTCCCAGCCATAAGCTGGACCCCTTGAGCCTTGGGCCACAGTGAATCTTTCTTCCCTTGTTGCTTCCCATCAGGTGTTTGGTCACAATGAGAAAAGTAAGGAAGGCAGAGTCCCATGAGTTCATCAGCATCAGATAAATAGCAGTTAAAGCCTACATCCTTCTGATCCAGGAAACAGGAGCCAGGCAGACTCTTAAGGTGATCTAAGCTGGGCCTAGGTTATTTATTTATCTACCGAAGCAAGGAAGTCTAAAATAAATCGCCAAACCTCACCGTTGCCAATATTTATAAGTTGTTTCTTACTAAGCCTTTCACCAGAGTTGAGCATTCACTGATTTAGTTTCACCTCTCTCCATTCCGATGACTACGCTTGAACTATTTTATGGCCAGGAAAAGCCCAAATATATAGGGCGATAGAAAAGGCAGATAAATAAAGGGAGACAAGGCAGGAGAGCGGGGTCTGTGCTCCAGCCATGGTTAGAATACAGTTGGTGGTCACTGAACACCCTCTTCACACGTGTGCACAGCTCAGCACTGCTTTCCTGCCTCATCGGGTAGGCGAAGACTTTTCTTAGCATGTCAAATTCCTCCTACCTCCCCTAGCCACCAACCCCCACCCCGGGAAGCTCTGTGTCCTCCCCTTCCCTTTCCTCCCTATCTACCTGTCTTCAGGAAGCCCCTGACTGGGTTCTTGGTCAGGGCCTGACTCCCCTGCTCCCTGCACTTCCAACTTGGCTTTTCTCTTTCCCTTTGAGCCCAGTGTCCCATATTCTGTCCTCCTCCCACACGGCCACCTCATGTCCTGCCACCTACTCCCCAGGCAGGTTTCTCAGGCAGGTCCTGTCTCCTGGTATGCTTAGCTTCTGAACTCGCCGTGTGACTGTGTGGGATGCTCCCCGTGATGCAGATACTTTTGCGTCACTGGGACCAAATATCCCATAGAAGCAGTTTAAGGAGGAGTTTGTTTTGGCATATGGTTCAGGGGATCCAGGCCGTCACATGTGGAAGACAGTGACAGTGTCAGCTCCTAGTTCTGGCAGCAAGAATATGAGGCAGCTGGGCACGTCCTGGTATTCGAGCAGGAACCAGAGCATTCGACCGGGAAGTAGGGGAGCAGACTGAAGCTTCAAAGGCCAGTTCCTGGTGACCTCAGCCATGCTTCCTGCCTCAAAGGTCCCATAGGTCCCATAACCTGCTAACACAGCACCACTAGCCAGGAACGATATGTCCAAACACATAGCTTACATCACAACTTCCCGTTTCATCGTCATTACCTGAGCAAGCTCTGTCCATCCTCAGCACTCGGCTGGCCTACCCAGCAAGGTCCTTCTGGATCCAGCCCTGAGACCAACCAGTTATTTCTAGACTAGACATTTGAAGGAGATACCATTTATTTATTTATTTATTTATTTTTGGTTTTACGAGACAGGGTCTCTCTGTATTGTTTTAGAGGCTGTCAGTCCAGCCTGGCCTCGAACTCACAGAGATCCGCCTGCCTCTGCCTCCCGAGTGCTGGGATTAAAGGCGTGCGCCACCAATGCCCGGCTGGAGATACCTTTTTGAGAGTGCTTACCTTGCCTAAGGTTCCAGAGCTGGAGACAAGCCTGTCAATCCAGTCTTAGGGTCCCTTTGTCCATTGGGTAGACCTACCTGGTTCCAGACTCTTGAGTTTGGATTCAGGCATTTCCTTGCCAGCTCTGCAATCCCGGGGCCAGTTCCTGACTAAGTGGGATGTAATTATAGTAATTACTTCACTTAGTAAGCTATCTAACACACAGTGAGTACTCTGTAATCTTATCTATCCCTATTATATGTTTAATATGGCTCAAGTTCATGCCCTTGCCCATGGCTCTGGTGACTTACGTTCTTAAACCCCACATGAGTCAGCCTGGCTGGAGCACTGAGGCTTTCTTCTCGACTGCTTTCTTGGTGCTCAGAGCCCATGAAATGCTCACATCAAGCTCACTCAATGACCTGGGTTCTTTGAAATAGGACGATGGCAATTGATTGTTCCCCGGCACGGAATTACTATGTAGAAGACACCTCTTGGTCATCAGTGTCTCCCCAAACTGACAGCAGTGTATTAAGACATGTTTTCTGCCTGAGGATATTAACACGAAAAGTCACCAGAAAAACCATTTAGTGGAGAGAGTAGCAGCTTCCACCCATGTGTTTCTAAGGACTCTCCTCCTCCCCTGCCTGGCTCCACTCTGCAGTCTTGTTCAATCCTCTTTGTATTTTCTTCCTCTTCAAGCACAGACAGTGGATTCCATGTAAAGGTACAATGTCTAGAAACATAGTGTAAAATGCCAGTTGCTGAATTCTTTTAACTTCCGAAAGAAGGGATTTTGTTGGAGGAAGTGCTTTTTATTTTATCCTTGGTAATTCCTTTATTGAGTTGTAGTTCATATGCCGTGTCACTCTTCCCCTAAAAGGACACAGTGAGGGACTGTAGAGCGCTCCTATGTGGCCCTGGGTTTGACTGCCGATGCCCCACACAGGCAGAGAAGGGTGCAGTCCAACCATGTTGTAGTATGTCCAGGGCTTCACGGACAGCACCACAGTAGTCCATAGCTGACAGTAGTCCATAGCTGGCTTCCTTTCATTTCACATAATATTTTCCATCAGTTTCATAGCTCTCGTTGCATTTGATTCCTTTGTGTATGACCATGGGGCGTTCTGTGTATCCGCTACTGGCTGATATGTAATCCCACATCTTTTTTTTTTTTTTTTTTGACCTTTGTGAAGAATGTCGCTGTAGACATTTGTGTGCGGTCTCTGTGCACATATGTGTCTTTGTCTTCATCAGTTTAAGATATAGCACACATACCACACAGTGCATTTACAGAAGGGGAGAATAGTGTATTGTGCATTCACAGCTCATTGTCATCATTGGCACGCTCATCAATCCTACGTCATTTTTAACATTTCAGAAGCAGCTCCGTGCCCTTTAGCTGTGAGAATCCTATGGTTGCCAAAACCCTAAGCAACCGTCCATCCACGTTCTCTATTTGTAGACTTACCAGATGAACAGAAAAATGTCCTTCTGACAGAAAATGGGTTATGTTTATAGTGGGACACTAAGAATAGACCCTGATATCTGATTCATGGTAACTTCGCATCCAACTTTTTTGAAACAAGTAAGAACTCATTCTTGTAGTAAATTGTTTCTCTACAGGCATGTTTCTGGGTTTGGATCTATCTAGGAGAGGGACTGGGACTTTTTCCATCTTTGTATGTTTCCCAGGGACAGGGTCTGTAGTCTGGTCTCACGTTGGTTTTCCTATGCAATTAGGGTCTATCTCTACAGCACCTGCCTAGGTGTGGGGATTCACATGTGGAGAGGTTGATGGTCCTCGGAAGAAGAACAGATTTCCTAAAAGGAATTGATGACGTCCTGAGATGGCTAGGAAATCCAGGTCAAGCCGTGTCCTCTGGAGCCGACACTAAAGCGTCCTGTCTCTTATCCTGTTTGTGACAGCGGTGTGGGTTGGGATGGACCGCTGGTGCTCCCATGGGGCATAGGCCTGCATGCTCCAGGTCTGCGTTTGCCCTGTGTGAGGAAGGGAGGAAGTCACATGGGGGGGGTGTGCCTCTGAAGAAGTGAATAAGTTATCCTGCTTGTCTGAAGGTGGGCTGACATCCCTGCAGGCTCCCTGTCCTGAGAGGTGGACACAGAACCACAGAGAGAACCAGGGCAGCCCGGACCGTTGTCATGATTAGGTTCCAACCACAGTCTGTGTAGGCTGTGTAGATGGAGCTGCAAAGTTAGGTCAGGCAATAACTGTGCTAGACCAAAAGCCTATTAGTATACACACTATATGCTATTTTGCCTTAATCGGTTTATTAATTACTATCTATGTGGAGGCCAGGGGCACAAGAGAAATATCCTGTCCAGGAGCTAGAGTTTGAGTGAAGCCCCCCCCCCACCGTGACTCATCAGGGCCGTTTCAGCACTCTGGCTCTCTCGCTTGTAAGTTTCTACCGCGCTGGGCTCTGGGGCTCCTCTACCTCAGGCACCATCTATTTGCTGACATTGGTGTTGAGGTTGCTTGGGGTTCGCCTGTGTTGTTGGCATGAGCTCCAGAGCCCAGCAGAATCTGTACCTGAACTTCAGCTATGCCAGCTGTGTGATCAGAAACAATGGGCTTGAATTCTCTGAACCTTGGGCTCCTAATAGATCAACCAGGTACTGTAACAGGTCTTCCCAAGGAATGCCATCCACCTGGCACAGTACCTAGCTTGTCCCCTCACCTTAGGGCACTGTGCTG